CTATCTCCCCATATCTTTTTGTGTTGTGCATGGAGAGGCTAGCGCAACTGATAGACGAGGCGGTGGACCGACGCATTTGGAAACCGATTTCAGTTGGCCGAGGGGCAGTTTCGGTTCCTTTTTTGATGTTCGCTGATGACCTCCTCCTATTTCTGGAAGCCTCGTATGACCAAGTAGGGGTACTACATCAAGTCCTTGACCGTTTTTGTGACATGTCGGGCCTAAAAGTGAGCGCTGAAAAAACGCAAGTCTTCTTTTCACGCAATATTGGGATTGAGGACCAACACCTTCTTGCAGATGCGCTTCGATTCAAATGGACGGACAACTTGGGGAAATACCTCGGGATGCCAGTTATTCATGGCCGTGTCACCAAGTCGACATATTCGCATATTTTGGACAAGGCGGAGGATAGACTCGCCGGTTGGAGGATGAAATCCCTATCTCTGGCGGGCCGCATCACTCTCACCCAATCGGTGCTGAGCGCATTACCATACTTCTCCATGCAGGCTGCTCTGTTGCCTAGTGCCATTACCGAAGGGCTGGAACGTCGAAGCCGGGCTTTCATTTGGGGTGGCTCGGCCGATAAGCGCAAAATCCACCTGGTCGCCTGGAAGGACGTTTGTAAATCGAGGGAAGACGGCGGACTAGGCCTGAAGGATACTCGAAAGATGAACAAGGCTCTATTAATGAAACTAGGGTGGAGCATCCTTACGACAAACAGCAAATTGTGGGTCCGACTCATGAGCGCTAAATATGGTCTCTCTAGCTCTCCTGATTTGAATTCTTCGCGCTGCAGACTCGGATCGCCATTAATGCGAGCACTCTGTACGACTTGGCCTGAGATCAAACGAGGAGCTCGATGGATTGTAGGTAATGGGGAGTTGGTAAGATTTTGGCTCGATCCGTGGGTCGGGCCGATCGGCCCGCTCATGAACCACGCTCAGCAGCAGCTTCCCGTCGAGCAGATTGGCCTAAGAGTAGCAGACTATGTGGATGACCTGGGAAATTGGCGTTGGGATGCGTTTCATGGGTTGCTACCTTCTGCTGTAATTATGAGGATCGCAGGGATCGCCCCGCCAAGAGATTCAGCCGGGCCTGACCGCCTTATGTGGGGGGCCTCACAAGACGGGCAATTTACGACGCGGACGGCTTATGGTAATTTGGCCCCATCGGTGAGTGACCAGGATCGAGCACTGTGGAAACTTATTTGGAGATCCCCGGCGCCGCAAAGGGTCAGGACCTTTTTGTGGTTAGCAGCGAAGGACCGGCTCCTGACCAATAGCGAACGAACCCGACGCCATCTCACAAGCTCGTCGGATTGTGACGTCTGCGGGGTGCCCGAAACAACGCTACATGTACTACGTGATTGCCCGAATACAAGAGATATGTGGCGTCAACTCACTCCAATCGGCTGGGACGGCTACTTCTTTCAAACGGATCTTCGGTCTTGGCTTAGGAGCAACCTAGGAGCTGCGATGACGGGCAAGCTCAAGAACTGGACCAGCACTTTTGCATTTGGTGCGTGGGGAGCCTGGAAAAATAGGAATGAGAGAATATTTAAAGGCAGGACCCTCGACTGTGCAGCTCGTTGCGTGGATATTGTACGCAGATCGGAATTTTACGAAAAGTCGGCAGCGGCATATGCGAAGGTGGGAGCTGCAATCCATACACTTTGCATGATCCAGTGGCATCCTCCGGAGTCGGGGTGGGTCAAAGTAAATTCAGATGGAGCTTATAGTCGTAATACGGGCCTATGTAGTGCGGGTGGTGTTCTCCGTAATGAGGTCGGGCAATGGATTGAAGGTTTTGTTATGAACATAGGGATTGGATCGACTACTGGGGCCGAGTTATGGGGCTTGCTCCAAGGGCTCCAGTTGGCATGGGATTTGGGACACCGTAGTGTGATTGCTGAAGTTGATAGCCAGTGCGTTGTACAAATGGTTCTTGGTCCCAAGGATCATTTTGGAGTTCACGAATCCCTCGTGCGTGCCATTAGGGACTTAATTGATAAAGAATGGAGCGTCAAGATTCAGCACGTCCATAGAGAGGCCAATTTTGCTGCGGACCATATGGCGAGCTTAGCGGCCTCGTACCCGCTAGGTCTCCATAGATTAACGACTCCACCACAAGGACTTGATGCATGGATCGATTATGATTTCCGTGGAGTGACTCACCCACGTAGAGTTCGAGTATCGTAATTTCAGGCCTTTGGCCTCCTTCTTTGTACCAAAAAAAAAAAATTTGATTTGATAATCATCCATGACATCAGCACATACAAAAATAGCGTCACAGCCTTTTGTTATTCACATTTGTTCCTCCTCAAATTAAATATAAAAATCAATTAGAAAATCACAAGGTGAATTATTTTAGCTTTCTTGTTGGTTAAAATTCAAATTCAACTGTTATTTAATAAATTAATAAATGAGTCGAACTCAAATTCATCCATTGATATTTTTAACGATATAGCTCAAACTTACTTATTAACTCGTTCTGACTACGAGCCAAGAGCGAGTATTAAGAGAACGATACAAGATATTCAATAAAAATCCACTCATTTTTAATAACTTATTTTTTAATTCAAATCTAACTAAAGTTTAACTCATTCCCACTGCATTAAATATTATGAATATACTTAAAATAATATGAATCAATTATTCTTACACGTTACATCAACTTTAATTTACTATTTATCAATTCTCATAATTTTATCTGACCGTCAATTCACATCATATTTTTCTTACTTTTACATCAAATAATTTTAATTAATTTATTTTAAATATTATTTTCAAAAAAAAAAAAACTAAAAGTTTCACTAATAACTGATCATACTAAATTTTTAAAATTAATTCGATCAAACTAAAAAAATCTAAACAAAATCACAAAATTTCATATCCAAGCATTAATTTGTTCTCAAGTCCGCTCGTAATTTGACGAAGAGGGGTTAGGCACGTACCTTCGCTCGGCATGTACCACATAAAAAAAAAAAAAA